CTAATATAATACGGCACTTAATATTTAGGCTACCATAAAAGGGGCCTTAATTTTGACAACCACCCTATAAATCCTGCATTACCCAGAACAAGGAATATACCATAACTCCTATAGTCTAGGGACCTTATGGTGATGCAGGATATAAATCATCAACTATAGGAGCCTCAATATATGGTGAGAATAGGGTTTGGGGAGGTTCCTTGCTATCTATAACCCCAAGCCCTATTCTAATTATTCAGGCCCCTGCCTGACAAACATGCCGAAAGCGGTATTCTGGGAACTCCGGCTTGAGCTCGCATTGTGTTTGGACAAACTGCGAGCTCGAATGATGGGGGTCAAAAGCGGGGGGTTTAAGATTCTTGGGGTAGGGATTCCTGAATATGAACCCTACTATGGGAACCCTAATCCCTACTAAACCCCCATAGGCCAAGACCCCTCTTGGCCTCCTATGATCAAACTAGGATGCCTAGTAGTACCCTTATTCCCTTTTCATAGTCCTAGGTTCCTTATAAAGTTACCCAATACCAAAAAGAGGGGCCTTTTTTTCTTAGGTTACTGGGTATCCTAAACCCCTCAACCCTAAACCCCTAAACCCTAAACCCTTAAACCCTAAACCCTTAAACCCTAAACCCCTCTTGGCCTCCTATGATCAAAGGTGCCAAGGCACTGAAAGCCTGATCTGATCGGGATGGCATCGCTGGCTTTCCCTGGCAAAGCCCTCTTACTCCGAGATCCCAATACCCCTTCATTCAGGAAAATACCGTGAATTATATCAGGGGCCCTAATATTATGGTTTACGGTATACCCCTTAATTAAGGGCTTGATATTATGGTTCGGTTCAAGGTATACTCCTTAATTAAGGGGTATTGGGATCTCTGGGTACCGGACTGCGGGAGATCCTCCTGTCCGCAGTGGGAATGCGGCAGCAAATTACAAGGTTGAAGCCAACGACCTAGGGTTTAGGGTTTAGAGTTGCCCTTTCCCCCGCTTCCAGAAAAGTTGAGGTATTGTAGGGCCGTAAGGGTGCAGCTCAAAACTTTATTCGTGGTTCAGATCTCATAAGACTACTATATTGGGCTGTTTCCTAAGCACTCACAAAACTCTGAAGCTTGTTACACCCTTACATAAAAACCTTAAATCCTAAACCCTAAACCCTAAACCCCTAAACCGTAAACTTAGGGGAAGCTGCACTCCACATCAGAAACCACAGGGCTCAACGAATGTACGGGCTTGAATAGGAGTTTCCGAAATTGGGGGACCCTAGTATGGTACCCTAAGTAGTAGGATCCTTATTATAAGGACTCCAAAATAAGGTACCCCTGATTTTCGGAAACTCCCAAATAGTTACCTATACTATCTTTGGGGTTCCTTCTTACAATTATAGTATAAGGGCCCCGAAAGCCCTATTCTGATTGATTCAGGCCCCTACATTATTCAGGCTTCAAGGCTTAGGGTGCATAAGCATTCGGCGACCATACGGCTGATGATATAAATCCTGCATTGCCTTAAGGACCCTAAACTATGGGAATACTGGTACATTCCTTATCATGGATAATGCAGGATTTATATCATCAACCGTATTAAATTGATCCTGTCTTTGCAGGGGGACTGTTGAGTAAACGCCTATATGAACCTGCTCCTCAAGATTCCAGCCATGAATTCGGTGATTTTTCTTGTATTTTGTTATCTGATGGACAGAACCCTACCCTAAAACCCTAAAGACCCTAAACTGCCCTTGTCCTGGCTGAGCTTCAAAAACCGCGGCTGCAGATCTTCGGGTATGTACGGTAATCCGGGCAAATCAACAGTCTTAAATGCTCAGCCTTAATTTTAAGTCTGAGGGTACAGTGATTGGGTATTCAAGCTCGACTAACGTTTGTGTACTTCAGAGACCTAAAAGGAGCCCTTTGGAAATATTAAGGCCCTAAAGTCGTAAGCACGAACCTGGCACCCCTTATTGCCGTCAACAGGAGGCCCATTCTTACTATTACGGCCCCTCTAAACTTCAAACCCCGAAGCCTTCAAAACCCCTTGAGCCCCATGGGCCCCCAAACCCTAAAGCCCAAAAGCCCCTAAACCCCCAAAACCCCAAGACCCCAAACCCCTACACCCCTAAAGCGCCTATAAACCCCAAACCTTAAAGCCTTTAAACCCCTAGACTTATAAGCCCCGAACCTTTAGTGTATCGTCTCCTTAGTGTTTTTATTTCTGTTCATATAAAACCCAAGAGAATCTCACAAACTATTATGTTTATTATGGTTCTAAGGGGGTGCATAGTAGTATGTCTTGCCAGGCCAAAAGGTCTTCGAGACGCTGCCGCCTTGGATGCGGCCTCTCATGCCACCCAGACGGAATGTTCGGGCTTTAGGGGCTTTAAAATAGGGGCTATGGTCTCCTTAGGAATTATGTTTTCATTTTTGTTCATATAAGACCCAAGAGAATACTAAACACAGTATGTTTATTATGGTTCCAAGGGGGGTATAGAAGGGGCCTTAATAAATACCTATATGATTTTGGGGTTCCTGTATTATCATTGCAGTATATGATGGGCTTCAAAACCCCATTCTAATAACTAAGGCCCCTGTACTAGGGTTTGTTTATGGGTTCGGGATTTAGGGGTATGCGCTTTGGGAAATTTTGGGTTGAGGAGACTTTAGGGCTTTGGGGTTCAACTAGGGGCTTTAGGGGTTTAGGGCTTTAGGGTTTAGGGGTTTGCGCTTTCGGGTTTAGGGTTTAGGGTAAGATGACGGAATGTCCAGCTACAGTATTGCTGGTAGACCATTAGCTGCAACCCACGTATGTGCTAGGTTCCCAGGCGCTTCTGCAAGGACCTTGCCGTTGGGTTTCAAGACATATGAGCCAAGAAGTATCCGGAACTTCCAACATTGAAACCTGTACGCAGTCAGATCAACCCCTCATTTTTGAGGATTCCCATACATAGACCGAACCGAACGAATCATCTTCATCAGCCAAGTCTTTCTGACTAAGCCAGCGCCCAGGAGTTTGGGGTTTCGGTGTTTGGGTTTGGGGTTCTGGTGTAAAGGTTGAGGCTTCTTGTATCATCTTTGTCAACCTTGTTTTGAGCTTTGCAGGGCAGCGATGTCGAAGTTGCGAAAAGCTTGATCTAGGGTTTAGGGGTGTAGGGTTTAGGGTTACTTATCAAAGCAAGGATTTTTCAGCCCTGAACCCTCAATCGGTCTAATGCTCATACCCTGCGGCCTTAACCGCTAAAACGCTACACCCACTGAAGCCCTATAAAGCCTTAAACCGAGGCTGGGTGCTCCTGCGGCCGCAGTTGTGACATATTTCCTGGCCTTCATTCAGACGCCGGGCGGCGATGGCTCGGGTTTTTGGGGTTTAGGTTTAGGGGTATACCCTGGGTCAGGGGACTGTGTAATTAGGACTATAAGTTATCTTAGCGGATTAGGGGACTTGGTAATGCTGGTCATAGCGGATCAGGGGAGTATTTAGGGATATATGGCGTCAAAAGCAATGTACCCATACTTGTAGGTTTCTCAACCCTACTTCAGGTCTTAAATCCTATAGACCCTAAACCCTAACAACCCTTGCTACGTCCCTTGATCCTCCCCCAGATGTCCAGTGCTGTTGGTTTAAGGCTCGAGGCCTCAACCCTAAACCTGAAAATCCAAGCCCCCGTTTTTGAGGATACAATAATAAGTGCCCTGGTTTTTGGCCCCCGGTCAGATTGTTAGTTCTTCGATGTGGGTCAAAGGTGACGAGCTTTGGGTGTCAGGATCGGCTTTCGGTTCGTCCAGAGTTTAGGATGTTTATTTTATAGGATCCTTAAGGGAGGGGGCTCCAAGGGGGGAGGGTATAAGGAATCCTTAGGGGACTGTAAGGGAACCTTAGGGAGCACTAGGGAGAATTAGGGATCACTAGGCTATATACCCCCCTTGGACCCCCCTCCCTTAAGGATACTACAATTATTGGGCACGGCCCCCACTCAGTAATAGTTGAAGAATGTTCATAATACAGACATATTCGGACCTTCATCGTAGCCCCTTGGTAGACTCTTACTGTAAGGCAGTACCTAAGGTGTTGTTTACTTTTGCAGGGCCAAAGTCAAACCTTGCTCCACCAGAGCAACCCCGAGCTCGTCTTTGGGCCGACAGTTCCCTAGACCCTGGCCTGAACCCCTACACGCCGGACCCCTAAACTCCAAGGGGAAAGGAGGGACCCTTAATAAGGACCCCTAGGTATATACCCTTAATATAGCTACTATATACCCATTATATAGCCCATTATAGGGTAGGGGTCCCCATTAAGGGTCGCTCCTTTTCCCCTTTGATAAACCCCGTTAGGGCGCAGATTCTCATCACCACCTGTCATCAGGTTCAACTCGCTCCTCCGACATAAGTACACCTTATAATTTTCCATCAAAGGTTAAGAACTGAAAATGCAAGGTTATGCGGTAAAGCGTAGATGCCCTACATACCCAAAGTGTTTCTCTTCTCTGAGGAGGTCATAACGCAAGGCTAAACTGTAAAGCGTACAAAGTATACGCCTAGTCGCCTATTCCACCCCATACCTGTACTGTGTCTCTTTTTTGGAGGCCTTCAACACGCAAGATCATACTGCAAAGCATATACACCCTCGCCTGCACCGTTTCTCCTGTTTGGGGGGGCTCAACCCTCAACCCCAAACCCTAGTACGGCTTCTTCTGTTTGCATTTAGGATTTAAGATTTCGGGTTTAGGGCTAAGGGTCCCCGTATCAAAACCGAATAGTATTAAAGAGGGCGTCCTTACGACCGAGGGGCGGCTCAAGAACCTAGTACAACCTAAACTAAACCCTACGCCCTATACCCTAAACCCTATCCCCTAAACCCTATACCGGCAGGTGGAAAAAGGCGTTTAAAACAAAAAACCCTATACCCTAAAGCCTATACCCTAAACCCCATACCGTTTCGCCTTTTTTGGGGCTCAAGGTTTGCCCCGGCACAGTTTTAGCAGCAACGCCCGCAGTATTTAACTCGCAGCCATGGGTGACGAGGAGGTGGGCTTCGGCACCTTTCGGGCTTCGGATTTAGGGATTTGGGCTTTCAGGTTTAGGGTTATAGGGTTTAAGGTTTAGGGTTTAGGGTTTAAGGTTTAGGGTTTAAGGTTTAGGGTTTGGGGTTTAGGGTTTAAGGTTTAGGGTTTAGGGTTTAAGGTTTAGGGTTTAGGGTTTAGGGGTCTAGGGTTGACACCCCCGGAACTCCCTGAGGGAAGGGCTCCAGTTACCTGTTTGGGGTTCCTTTGAGGGTTCCTTACTAGGGTTCCTTCAAGGGAATACTGGGTTTCTGGGTTACGTATCATATTATGGGTTTTGAAAGTTTTTTGCTTGCGTCTAGGCAACTGGAAAGCCAGGGTAGTATTAGAGTGGGTAACCTTGAACCTTTTGGGGTACTGTGATCCCCGTATGGTCTCAAAGGTCAGGCATACCTTGTTTGAGATGTTTTGAGATTATTGGCATGCAGTGCTTCACTTCACGTAAATTTAAGCATGAGTTAAGTTTCAATCTGCTTTCCCAGGTAGTTCCCTCTACTACACCCCTTCTCGGAGCCTTTACTATCGGGGTCTTGTTGAACCGCCCATGGCAAGCGACGATACATTTCAGAGAGAGGGCTCTTGTGATTTTTTGTTCGAGCTGACCGCTTTCTGAGGATCAAGCAAGACAATGGAAAACAATAATAAAAAAAGAATAAAATGATAATAGTAGTAGTAATAACACCAATAACAACAATAACAACAATAATAAGGCCTATACCGTACGAGAGGCCGGCACTGCAGAGCGCAACGGCGTTTGTCGCGCAGAATTGACTAATTTTGCTGGCTTTAGGCTTAGAGACAAACTACATATGGGTGGTTGTCAATATTAGGGTCCCTTTTGGGGTCCTTAATACAAAACGGCACCTAACGGGTACCCAAAAAGGGACCCTAATTTTGACGACCACCCATATACACAACATTCGTTCGAGGGCTGTTTGGACTGCTGGTCCTTTTGAAAGGTTGCACTTGCATCGCCCAATGTAGGGGCCTACTTGGAGGGTCATGGGACTTTATTAGTAAGTAAGGTTATAAGTACCTTAAATCGGGTTATAAGCAATTATAAGTATAGTTACCTTGTTTATAACCCCAGTTACTAAGTCCCATGATCCCTTAAGTAGATCATTAGAACAGGATCTTGGTGGGCTCCGTTTTACAAGTGCAGGAAAGTATACCCCCAAGCCGTCTTCTAAGTCTAAACCCCAAACCCTAAACCCTATACCCCCAAGCCCTACTCTAAGTATTGAGGGCCCTAGAACGGGTAGTGGAGAAGTAGGACTTCAGATGAGGCAAGGGCAAGGGAGTTCCGAAGGATTCACGACGAGCTTCACCATGCTTTGGGGTTTAGGGTTTTATATACCTAGACCTACTAAACCCTACTTTTTTGTAGGTTCTTATTATAAACCCTAATATGGGATTTCTAGGGACCCTACTTCTGGTAGGTTAAGGTAGTATATAGGCTTTGGCTTGGGGGGTTAGGGTGCTGGGTTTAGGATTGAGGCTTAGAGTCTAGGGGATAGGTCTCAGGGTTTAGAGTTTTCGGGTTTAGGGCTTAGGCTTTGGGGTTGAACCTCGGCACCAGGTGGCAGCATTGGTGGTGGACAACGGCAGCGGCATGTGCAAGGCAACGCATCGACGAGGGATTCTAAACCGTAGCCGTTTCAGGGTCCATGTTACGGGTTTGGACCCTACCTTAAAACTACCAAAACCTACTTTTGTGTAGGCTCTTATAGTAGCACGTAATATGAAATTTATAGGGCCAACCAGAAAAGTAGGTTTTGGCAGGTTAAGGTAAACCCGAACACCCCAAGGCCACAAATGCGAGAGACCCAAACCGGCCCCGAATCCTAAGCCCATATAAGGCGCTTCATGAGCACCTCCCGACCGCATCCCATGTCTATTGCAGGAGTGGTTTAGGGTTCAAGGTTTGAGAATTTAGAGTTTAGGGTTTAGCTGTCGAGACATGGGGGATTCTTGTTATATGTATCCCAACAGCCTAAACCTTGCATAAAATCCAAGAAGAACTAACTATGATTGCAGAACCGACTGTGGAAGGTCTCAAGAGAACCCACTACGGTTGATGATATAAATCCTGCATTACCCATAATCAGGAGTATACCATAATTCCCATAGTTTAGGGTCCTTAAGGTAATGCAGGATTTATATCATCAACCGTAGCATGAACACTATAAATCGTAGAATCTTCAAGGTTATCGACTTTTTCAGTCTAAGGTTCTAGGACTCGGTGTCTGATTGTGAAAGTAGTGAACCAACTTGCTGCCTGGACGTTTGCCACGAAAGCAGTTCATGTGTTGGGGTTCAGGGTTTCATAGGTCTGAGCCCTCATTCCTCGCACCCTGGACCCAAAAACCCACACCCCTGAAGCCCGAAATCCTAAACCCTTCCCTAGACCCAAAGTCCTAAAACCGTCAAGCTGTAAAACCTTAATTAACAGCCCCAATGCTCTCAAGCCATAAATGCTGAAGCCTAAACCGGGGCTTCTGTTTCGCTAGGCCGGCTTCGCCGGGGACGATGCCCCGCGCGCCGTCTTCCCTTCCATCGTCGGCCGCCCGAAGATGCCGGGCATCATGGTGGGCATGGACCAGAAGGATCTCTCTCTCTAAGTCTTTAGGAATTAGGGGTCTAGGTTTGGGGCTTTAGGAATTAGGGGTTGAGGGGTTTAGGGGTTAGGGCTTCAGGGGAGAGGGGTTTAGGGGTTGGGGGGGTAGATTAGGGCTTTGGGTAGGAAGTTTGGGCTTGGGGCAAGAAGCTTGCTAGGGCTGTTTAGTGCTCTTCAGGGTTTAGGGTCTATGTAGAAGCCCGGGTAATTATCGGAATTTCGACAGCAGGACAGTGGGCCACACGGCTAGCGACCCCTCCTCTCCATTTCGACTTACCTATAGTCTGCTTAGGAATTATGTTTATTTTGTTCATATGAAACCCAAGAGAGGATTAAAGATGGTTTTATAATAATAATAATAATTATTATTATTACTATTATTATTATTATGGTTCTAAGGGGGGTATAGTTACTTGCAGGCACCGGAACTTTAGTCTACTCCATCCTTGACATCTTGGAACATTCAGCTCTGAATCTCGAAAGCCGAAATGAATGTAGAAGCCCTGTAGATCCTATATATGGGTGGTTGTCAAAATTAGGGTCCCTTTTTGGGGTACCCTAAAACTCAGGTGCCGTATTATTATAAGGACCCAAAAAGGGACCAGAATTTTGACAACCCCCCATGTGCATCTCGAAGCCTGAGTCCCCCCGAACTCTGAGCCATTTGAACACCCTGACTAAACCTTGGCAACTTGTGGGAGCCGGGTGTGCGAAAACCTTCACTGAACCGGAACCTTTTAAACCTTGAGCTTTACCCTAGGGATCAAAATAACCCAGAAGCCTCATATAGTATGGTCTTTGGGCTCAAAAGCCTTATTATATGAGCCCTTCGGTTGATGATATAAATCCTGCATTACCCATAATAAGGAATATACCATCATTCCGATAGTTTTAGGGTCCTTAAGGTAATGCAGGATTTATATCATCAACCGTAGGGTTAGACCCTGGTCCCTGAATCGAAGCCCGAGGCCCTCAAAACCCCCCAGAGCGCCGAACCCCTGATCCGGCAGAGGTTCCGAAACCCCAACCCGGCCCGAAACCGTGGATGCTGAACCTGCTTTAGGGCTTAGGGTTTAGTTTAGGGTTTAGTCTAGGGTTATATAGGGTTATGACTATAAGGTTTAGGGTTCAGGGTTCAGTTTAGGTTTAGGGTTATGTAGGGTTATAGAAGGTTTAGGCGTTTAGTTTCGGGTTTAGGGTTATATCGGGTTATAGAAGGTTTAGGGTTTTACATGTGGTGCAGGCAAGAGAGACGGTACGTGCAGCCTAGCTGTAACCGACAATAACCAAGCCCCCGATTGCGGAGCAGGTTTTGGCCCTGCATAGTTGGTTTCCCAGTCCAATGTTTTTTGGCTAGCTGTCCGATTGAAGCCCTGGGGCTCCAAGACGGACGCCCTAGGCTGAGGTCACACGAAAGAGTCGGAGGCCTCGAAGTTTGGAGCTTTTGGGCTTGTATTCCGAAGGCATCCTGAGGTTTTCAACTGTCGTCTCTGCCCCCCCTCCCCACCCCACCCCCGAAAGCCCTGAAACAGCAGGTTAACACCCGAAACGAAGGGATCCGGCGGGCGCGCGCGCCACCAACTATTCAGGCCCCTAGAGCAAAAGCGAGCCCCACAGCTTCGAACACCTCTCCAGGACTCGTACGTGGGTGACGAGGCGCAGTCAAAGCGAGGTGTGCTGACACTGAAGTACCTGGGGCTCAATGTCAGGAAGGGTTGTTTTGAAGATGTGGTGTTCAAGGTTTAGGGTAGGTAACAGTTTCAATGTTTGGGGACCCGGGTCGATTTTGAGTCATTATTGGAGGAATGAGTTTGGTTCTTTGAATCAACACTGGGCTCTTTCTATGGAGGGTGTATGCTAACCAGGGTCCAGGATACCTGGAACTGGAAAGGCTTACGGTAGGGTGTAGGGCTGTACGGGAAACTTATGTATATCCATTCCGATGTAGCTGTAACATGCTGTAACCATATTATGGGGACATGTAGGTGTTCTTTATGTGTGTTTCACGTATTTGTGTCTAAAAATGTTCACGCTGGAACGGTAAACTCGGTAAACCCTATAAACTCCACAGCTAAAGCCGAGGTATCCCATCGAGCACGGCATCGTCACCAACTGGGATGACATGGAGCCTCCGTCTTGAGAGGGTTTCGACGGTGGCTTAGGGTTTGGGGCTCAGTTCTGGGAGTGCGCAAACCCTTAAAAAGAACTAAACCCTAAACAGGGTGTGTGTCTGTGTGTGTGTGTGCGCGTGCGTGCTGTGGCGTCCAGCCGGTGATGTGTGAAGGTGGGCTTCCGAATTCCGGGGTAAGTCGGCTCTCTGGATCTGTAAGAACGAAGTAGAAGTGTAGGGGCTTTGACAGTTGCTATTGCTGTTCTTTATATACGGTTCCTGTGTATTTTTTTATTCGCTATCAAACCATCCTAATGCTTTATTCTAAGGAGTTCGGCCCCAACACCATACCTGTAGTACAACCTCTATGAAACCAGGCTCCGGAGCAGTGCCCTTTTTTGCAATGTTTATTTTGCATAGAGTCCCCTTATCTAAGAGCGAATAGTAGGAAAAAGGGTACTCTTATTGCAAAGGGGCTACTCAGGAACCTAGGAAACTTCACGATTACCTGACCCCTCCACAGAATGGCCGAAGGCGGCTGAAGCTCAGGGGTTCAGGGCTCTTAGGGCTCTGAGGGTTTAAGGTTTACTTAAAGGGTTATGGAACTTCGTAGCTAGGGTTGTAACAAAGGTCACATTCAGCTACGCATAACGCCTTTAAAGGCACTTCTAACTTCTGATCTTGCTTACCCAGAGGGTCCATATACACTTCTATTATGGAAATAGGTCCCCAAAAAACCATGGTGGGGATGGTTTTTCGGGGCCTAACTTCACAATAGTGGTATAGATGGACCCTCTGGGTTACTAAGTCCCATGATCCTCGAACCAGGGTTTAGAGCTAGAGGGAGTCGATGGTCTTCCGGAATGAACAACCGGAAGCTCAAACCCTATAAGCCCCGAAACCCTGAGCCCCTCAGACCCTATAACCTAAAGCCATATGGGAGTTTCCGAAAATTGGGGGGTACCTATTTTGGGGTCCTTACAATGAGGATCCTCCTATTTAGGGCTCTAGATTAGGGTCCCCTATTTTCGGAAACTCCCATATGAGCCCTAAGACGTCAAAGTCCCTAGGCCTAGAAACCCCTAAAACCCTGAACCCTCAACCCTAAGACTGTTGAACTATACATCAAACCTTAAATCCCTGAACCTTAAAACTCCTCTATGGGTGGTTGTCAAAATTAGGGTCCCTTGTTGGGTACCCAGGGACCCCAAAAAGGGACCCTAGTTTTGACAACCACCCATATAAGACTTCCGAGAGCAGGAAAAGATCTGAAGGAGAATGCCCTAGTTACTAAGTCCCATGATCCTAAACCCTAAACCCTAAACCCCTAAACCCCTAAACCCCTAAACCCTAAACCCTAAACCCTAAACCCCTAAACCCCTAAACCCCTAAACCCCTAAACCCCTAAACCCCTAAACCCCTAAACCCTAAACCCCTAAACCCCTAAACCCCTAAGTAGGCCTCCAACCTCAGGAAAAGATCTGGCACCACACCTTCTACAACGAGCTGCGCGTGGCCCCCGAGGAGCACCCGGAAAAAATGAGAGTGGTCTTTAAGAATGTAGGGGATATCTCTACCTTAATGGGCTTCATTATATAGGGGATATCTCTACTTTAATGGGCTTCATTACAGGGTTTAGGGTTTAGGGTTTAGGGGGTTATGAATCCGGAGGAGCACCCGGTGCTGCTGACGGAGGCCCCTCTGAACCCCAAAGCCAACCGCGAGCGCATGACGCAGATCATGTTCGAGACCTTCAACGTTTCATGGCTTGAACACGAAAGCCTGCTATAGGGGGGACCTCAATAATTAGCTCTACTATTCTGGGGGTTCCTTATTATAATTATAGTACCATGGCCCCCAAAACCTTGTTCTAATTATTAAGGCCTCTATAGTAAAGCCAAAGACCCAGAACTCCAGAGCCGAAATCAAGATCCGCTAAATTCATATACTTAGGGACCCAAAAAGCACATAAGCATAAGCATTTTATAGGGATATCCCTACCTTATTGGGCTTCATGATAAGAGGGTTTATATGGGATATCCCTATCCGATTTTTTGCTTATGTGCTTTTTTGGGGCCCTATATACTTCAGACGCCCAACCCAGAGCCCACGGTTTAGGGTTTAGGGTTTAGGGCCTAAATCCTAAACTTCAAGCCCCTCGCCTAACAGAAGGAGGTGCCACGACCCTCAAAAGCATCTTGAAAACCTCACGCCTTGCCGCGTGTAGCGCGAAACCACTACTCATCGAGGCTAGCAGAGCCAGTTGCTTCCGGCTCCAGGATGAGAAGAGCCTTTTTTCGTCACGGGCTGTAAGGTTCGGTACCCAGAACTTAGGATTGCAAAGAGGCATGGAAGTCGAAGACATGATGCAGTATTTTTCATTGCCTACTGGTAATCGCATTGGGGGGCTATGCCGTAACTATCAGCCATGATGAAGCCTGGGCAAGCCTGCGGTCGTCGGTCTGATCCGACACTACCCCTGAACCCAGAGAGCCCAATACCCCTTAATTAAGGAAATTGCCTTCATAAATCATAATATGAAGCCCAATATAATTTAGGCCATATTCCTCAATTCCCTCCTCCACTTGAACCTTGAAACCCTGGATCCCAAGCGAGCCCTGGATCCCCACACCCTGAACCCTACCCCTAGGCCCCAAAGTAGTTCCTTTTTGGGATTACCTTATAGGATTCTAAATATGAACCACAAAAAGGAACTACTACGGGGCCTTCGGATAGACCCAGAACCGTTTTGCACAAAAAAAAAAAAGAAAAGCTCAGCGACGCCCTCTAAACCTGAAGCCTTGCGGCTTAAGCTGATCTCAGGTTCCGGCCATGTACGTGGCTATCCAGGCTGTCCTGTGCCTTAGCCCTTGAGATTAAGCAAATGTTGAAAGGCGCTGACCTTCTTCTATCCTTCGCTCTGAAAATGTTTTGCTTTTGTGGACTTGCAGTAGCAGTAATTAGTGTCTGTACATCGAATTCTTGTTTATCTTCTCTTCGGGCTCGTGAACTGCGCGACGAAGGTCTCTCTATGCCTCCGGCCGCACGACGGGCATCGTCATGGACTCCTTCCTATTTGGGCCGTAGCAACAACCGTTTTGGGATTGTTTGTTCGGGTGCTAGGCCCTATAGACCCTAAACCCCGAAACCCCTCAAGGGTGCAGGGCTTCGGGTTTGCACTGCAGGATGTTTTGAACTAAGAGCATCGGCTTGCATGGCCCTTTCAGCTTTAAAGTCGGGCCACGAGCTGCACTGTTACAGTTTGATAAGGATCAAGAACTGTAGTTGAAGTCCCTTCGCCTCAAGTTCTAAGCCGTGCTCCTGGGACGATAAGCTCCAAACTCGACATGGCTCATGCAACCCTTCAGCCGATGTAGCTTCGGCATGCATTTTAGCTGCTGATACGGTTCCCTAAACCATCTAAACCCTAAACCCTATGTGCAGGACAGCGGTGATGGCGTGTCGCACACCGTCCCGATCTACGAGGGCTACGCGCTGCCCCATGCCATCCTCCGACTGGACCTGGCCGGCCGTGACCTCACGGAGTACATGATGAAGATCCTGACCGAGCGTGGCTACTCCTTCACCACCACGGCAGAGCGCGAGATTGTCCGTGATGTCAAGGAGACAGACAGATGATATGTGTTGTGAGCCTGATGTATAGATTAGATGTTACACTGGTACACACGGGTGTGCATATATATATATATATATATATATACATACATACATACATACATACATACATATAGCACACACACACACACACACGTACACGTGTTTATGTGAACACGCACACACACACACATATGCATGCGGTATTAATCGCCAATACAAATATATGTCAAGGAGAAGCTGTGCTACATCGCGCTGGACTTCGACAGTGAGATGAAGGCTGCCAGCGAGAGCAGCGACAAGGAGAAGACGTACGAGCTTCCGGACGGCAACATCATCACCGTGGGCGCCGAGCGCTTCCGCTGCCCCGAGGCCAGGCGGTGAATTCCATGTATTCTGGGAGCTTCCGAAAATTACGGGTACCCGGGTACCTTATTTGGGAGTCCTGATAATAAGGATCCTACTATTGAGGGTACTATATTAGGGTCCCCTATTTTCGGAAAGCCCCATATGGAAGCCTAAATGATTGCCAAAACTTTTTGGGGAGTTCCTTATTATAATTATAGTGTAGAGGGCCCCAAAACCCTATTCTAATTATTAAGCCAGTCCGAATATAGCCGCAACACTAGCATCCTTAGTGACGGCATCGGCATCGGCTATGCTCTGCGCCTTTTGAGAAACCTGCCAGAGCGAACGGGCACGGTGAAACAGCTAAAGTATCTGACATTGCGAGAGGTGGCGCAGCTCCATATACTGCTGATGATATAAATCCTGCATTACTTTAAGGGACCGAAACTACTACGGGAATAAGAATCTATTCCTTATTATGGGCAATGCAGGATTTATATCATCAACCGTAGTGCTGCACGAAAGGTTCTTTTCCAGCCCAGCTTCGTCGGAAAGGAGGCCAGCGGCATCCACGACACCACCTTCCAGTCCATCATGAAGTGCGACGTGGACATCCGAAAGGACCTCTACTCCAACGTGGTGTTGTCCGGTGGCACCACCATGTTCCAGGGCATTGGTGAGCGCATGACCAAGGAGCTGACTGCCCTGGCACCCTCCACCATGAAGATCAAGGTGGTGGCCCCGCCGGAGCGTAAGTACAGCGTGTGGATTGGAGGCTCCATCCTGTCCTCCCTTAGCACTTTCCAGCAGATGTGGATTTCCAAGGGCGAGTACGATGAGAGCGGCCCGACCATCGTTCACCGCAAGTGCTTCTAAAACCGTGCCTCAATTTGTAATGTCAGTGCTACAGGGGGCCATGTCGAAGAGGGTGAAGCCCTCATGTTCATGACTTCCTTTGGCAAACTGTCTTGGTTAGCGCAAGATCAACGTCAAGGGGACGGATCTCTTCAGGAAAGACGTACATCGGACCACATCCGAAAAAGAACGTGCTGCTGCACGCGTGGACTGCATGATGCATGTCAGCGAGAGATCGAGCTGCTTCGATATCACCGAACCATGAACCCGAAACTCGAAACTCCAAAACCCCTAAACCCCCCAACCGCAAGACCCCCCCCGCCGTCCCCCCCTCAAAAGAAAAAGCAACAAACCTAATCCCTAAGCCCTTAAACCCTTAACCCTAAACAACTAAACTCCAAAGCCCTAAACCCCCAAACCCTAACGACAGGCCCCCTCCAATCCGCCCGGGTATTTGCACACCTGCGCCCGAACCCGAAATCTTCGCAGTAAAGTAGGTGACCGGTAACCTGCTTGGGGCATTATATTCCCAGGTAATAATCTCGAAGGCTAACCTTGAGTCATTGAGTTTTCCTGGATACTCTGCTAGTAAGTAATGCCAGAACCCACCTACAGCCCCTAAACACTGCGTACCTAAGAACCTGAGCCCTTAGCAACCCCCTACGAATCTTTCTGAACTAAGAAACCAAACAGCGAAGTCCGAAAGCCACGCGGCAATGCAATGGGCTCCACGCCTTCCCAAAGGGTCCCATGTACCGATATAGTAGAATGTAGGGTTTCTATATTAGGGGTTACTATTATGATTTGGGGAAGTATTCCCCATAACAGTACATAGGATCCTTTGGGCTTGATCAGGGTCTAGAGTCTCGGGTTTAGCAAGCAGGCTACGGATAGATGCTCTCGGGTCCCGGGCCCCCATGGTATCCCCCCCCCGCCCCGTCTACTTGGAGGATCATGGGACTTAGTAAGTAAGGTTATAAGTACCCTAATTGGGGTTATAAGTATAGTTACCCTAATTATAACCCTAGTGACTAAGTCCCATGATCCTTTAAGTACCCCTTCCCCCCGGGACCCGGGCCGCCAAACCAGAGGGAGGGAGGACGATGGAGAATGATCCCAGCCAGTGCTTCTTCACGGGAGCGGAGAACCGCATGAGAGCACGGACAGGGGCACCGTTTGCAAGGAGAAAAGAGAAACATCACATTTTGTATGGTAACGAGCACGTAACGATGACATTACTGCCAACATGCGGCAGCAGCCATACCACAGGGCGGGGAGGGGACAGGGCACTTAACGATGACATTACTACTACTGGTAACAAGCGGCAGCAACCATACCATACCTCTGTAGGACACACTGCCCCCCACAGGCGGGGCGGGGCCAGCCAATAAGACCACAGGCCCCACTCCATAGGGGGGGAGGGGACGTTGCCCAGACGGGGAAAGCAACAAGGCCAAACAAGACGATAGGCAAGGGGGAATACCATGGGGTGGGGGGGAGAGGGGGGGAGGGGGGGGGGCAGCAGCAGCAGCAGCCGTGCATCATACATCACAGTTCTGACCTTGTTTGGGGGTGTAGTAAGCAGGGCAGGCTACGGGCATAGCACAATTATGACCTTAACCTAGACTGATCAAGGACTCCACATAATCTTCGCTTATCGATTAGGATTGAGTGGACCCCAGCACCTACCTGAGCCTTTAGATGTTGTTCCTTATGGGGGGGGGTATATCGGGTCTACCCTAAACCCTGGCCCTTAAAACCCTAAACCCTAAAGGCCCTAAGCCCTAAAGCCCCTAAAGCCCCTATAGCCCCTAAACCCGAAACCCGGAATAAGCTCCGATTCAGGGTCGACCTGACAGGCCAAGCTGGGATCCTTTAACTTAGATAGCGAATGGGAGAGCTTTAATTTTTTTGGCCTTATATATCAGCTCTGTCTTAGAAAGCCTGAACTTTTCTTGGACCCGGTTGCTGAAGAAGAGAGTTAAGGGGATCCTTTGCGGGATCCTTTCAGACTTTAAGGGATCTATCTATGTATGGGGGTCCTTTAACGGATGCTTTAAGGGTTCCTTTAAAGTTGATGAAATTTATGGGCGACTCTGGGTACTCTAAACTGTATGGAATATACTGGAATACAGATCCCAAAAGGGCCCATCCATCATTCTGATTCATCCCCATATACGGACTTGAATTCTCGCTTCGATTAATCCCAAAAATACCTCAACACTGTTGAGGACCCCCGATATGACCGATTTAGGGTTTAGGGTTTTAGGGTTTAGGGTTGAGGGTTTTAGGGTTTAGGGTTTTAGGGTTTAGGGTTTAGGGTCACGCCCGATATTCACTCATCTTCGAATTCGAAGCCACTTTTGGCTTCACAAGCGGCTCTTTCACTTTGGGGTTTTGCGATGTAGAGATTGGTTAAGACGGCTATAGGAATCAAATCGAGTCTTGGAAAACAGAATCTGGATACCTTGCAAACACGCTAGCACCTCTAGTCTATGTAGTAGGCGAAGGTGAGCCCCTGTAGAACCTTCACCATATTTATAGTATTGAACACCAGAAAAACCCTTTACCCTGAAAAAGCCCCGACCATAGAAGCAAAAACCCAAAACCCCTATAGCTTCAAAGGAGCCCCGGAAGGAAGCCTTGAAGGGACCCATCTATTACATGATCCAGCAAGCCATAGTCTTAGGTCTTTCGTCAAGCGACCACCCTACGAAGCATCATGTCGATTTCTGTGGATGTGTGTCTGCTGAGTGGCAAGCATGCCTCGATGCAAGTGGAGGCGGATGCATCCGTTGAGTCGTTAAAGCAGCAAGCCCACAGTGCCTTGACAGTCCCGAGCAGGGGGCGGCTGCTGAATGCTTCTGGAGATGTGCTTGACGCAGCACAAACGGTCACAGAAGCGAAATTGAAAACTGGAGACGTGCTCACCCTGCATGTGAACCAAGTCCAGCTTAAAGCCTCCAAGCAAGGCGGCTGTGGCTCTGCGTTCGCTGCAATCCTGGGTGATGGATCTGTGGTCACCTGGGGTGATGCCAACCATGGTGGTGACAGCAGTGTCGTACAGCAGCAGCTGAAGAACGTGAAGCAGATCCAATCTACTCGTTGCGCATTTGCTGCAATCCTGGGTGATGGATCTGTGGTCACCTGGGGTTATAACAGAAGTGGTGGCGACAGCAGTGCAGTACAGGAGCAGCTGAAGAATGTGCAGCAGCTCCAAGCTTCTGTTGGCGCATTTGCTGCAATCCTGGGTGATGGTTCTGTGGTCACCTGGGGTGATGCCGCGTTTGGTGGTTACAGTGGCGAGGTACAGGATCAGCTGCGAGATGTGCAGCAGATCCAAGCTTCTGATCGCGCATTTGCTGCAATCCTGGGTGATGGAACTGTGGTCACCTGGGGTAGTGCCGACTTCAACGACTTCGGTGGCGACTGCAGTGCGGTACAGGATCAACTGCGACATGTGCAGCAGATCCAAGCTTCGCTTGCTGCATTTGCTGCAATCCTGGGTGATGGATCTGTGGTCACTTGGGGCCGGGACGACTGTGGTCGCGACAGCAGTGCGGTACAGGATCAGCTGCGAGATGTGCGGCAGATCCAAGCTTCTAAGCATGCATTTGCTGCAATCCTGGGCGATGGATCTGTAGTCACTTGGGGTGGAAATGATGCTGGTGGCGACAGCAGTGCTGTGCAGGAACAGCTGCGAGATGTGCAGCAGATCCAAGCTTCTGATCGCGCATTTGCTGCCATCCTGGACGATGGATCTGTGGTCACCTGGGGGCATGCCGATCGTGGTGGAGACAGCAGTGCGGTACAGCATCAGCTGCGAGATGTGCAGCAGATCCAAGCATCTAATTGGGCATTCGCTGCAATTCTGGGCGATGGATCTGTGGTCACCTGGGGTCATGCTGAATGTGGTGGGGACAGCAGTGCGGTACGGGATCAGCTGCGAGATGTGCAGCAGATCCAAGCTTCCTGGTATGCATTTGCTGCAATTCTGGGCGATGGATCTGTGGTCACCTGGGGCCATGCTAAATGTGGTGGGGACAGCAGTGCGGTGCAGGATCAGCTGCGACATGTGCAGCAGATCCAAGCTTACTCTGGTCAGGTTGGTGCATCTGCATTCGCTGCAGTCCTGGTTGGCGGTTATGTGGTTACCTGGGGTAACGACAAATTTGGTGGCGACAGCAGTGCGGTACAGGATCAGCTGCGAAATGTGCAGCATATCCAGGCTTCTGATTGATTGGGCACTTGCGGCAATCTTGGGTGACGGCTCTGTGGTCACCTGGGGCCATGCGAAAAAGGGTGGCGACAGCAGCGCCTTACAGGAGCAGCTGAAGAATGTGCAGCAGATCCAAGCTTCGGCTAGGAAAATTTGCTGCATTCCTGGGTGATGGATCTGCACTCACCCGGAGTGATGCCAAATTGTGCTGGCGACAGCAGTGCGGTACAGGATCAGCTGCGCGATGCGTAGCAGATCCAATCTTCTGGCAGCTTGTGATCCACTGGTTTGTCGCGGTGTGCTGTAGGTCTCAGATTTCGTCGTTTTATAGTTCACTGGCATCGATGCTTACATGTTCTATGCATGTTTTCCTTCTCGGCAATGCTCCACAGTTTCCTTATTCCAGTTAGTTTCAACATTCATTGTTCGGAGCGAGTTACCGGCCTCTGAAGCTCATTGGCAATTGGGAATACGCTGCCTTACGTAGAGATATTAAGCAACGAATATCGCTTATCGCCCTATATACCTGGTTGCACACTGCAGTTCTCAACAAAAAATGCTATAGGATTAAGGCCCCTGCTCTACTTGGTGGTCCCAAAGCGCGCTATTGAAAAAGACAGCAGCTTGCTGTAGATTACTGCGAGCACCTGTGGAGGAGAGGTGTTGTGAAAAGCTTGGACGCGTGATACTAAACGCGTCTGCTAAGGACGGGGCAGCATGTGAACGAGATCCGGCGCGGCTCTGGGACATTGAAGCACGAAGCTTGATCGGTTTAGGTTAGAAGGGGCCCCCACCAGTGGAA